TTCTGTTATTTTGACTGAAGTTGCACGGTTTTTTGCATAAATTGGACATTTATTTTTCGCTGAAATTACGCGGAAAATTGTAATTGATACTTAAAGGGGACTAAAATTACCATTTTACCCCTAGCAAGTATCAAAGTCTATTTTTCGGCATTTTAAGCACCTAATATGGTCGGATAATCGAATTAATGGTGTGAATCATCTGCGGCCCACGTTCGGGGATAATTGAACCATCATACACTTACAAATTTCAGCAATCGTCGGCTTTCCTCAGGTTTGGAGAGCGTTATCGGTGGATTTTTTTTCAAGTATAGAAAACCGCCAAGTCGGCTTTCCTCAGGTTTGGAGAGCGTTATCGGTGGATTTTTCTTCAAGTATAGAAAACCGCCAAGTCGGCTTTCCTCAGGCATGGAAAGCGTTATCGGTGGATTTTTCTTCAAGTATAGAAAACCACCAAATTCCTTTGTCGGCTTTCCTTAAGCATGGACGGCATTATCGGTGAAATTCTTCAAGCATAGAATGACACCAAGTTCATACGTTGACTTTCCTCAGGCATGGAAATTATTATCCGGTAGCTTTCTTCAGGCTTAGAAAACTACAAAACTCTTCAGTCGGCTTTCCTCAAGCATGGAAAGCATTTCAACAAATGTCACTCGGTGGATTCCTTCAAGCTTAGGAAGCTGCCAAATTCGTTCGTCACCAATACACTGGTGTCATATACGTATCCTATCCTTTTACTCTTTTATCTGTGGAACTAACATTTTTCTGCATGTATCGGTGTATACAGAGTGATTTAGGATCACAGAACGTCTTAAATCATTCTCCGTCCCTATCGGCTACTTTGACTATCGTTTTTGAAACTGACATTTCTACAAACTCAGTCAAAGTGGGGGCATCTGTAGACACCTAAAAATGTCTCCCCAAAACCAAACCCGATGATGAACAACCTTTCACCGCCACTATTGGTCGGGTTTAGTATTTAATCCCGAGAGTGCTTAAAAAATCGTATTTTATTAAATTCATATTTTTGAACAGTCCATGGATAAGTCTTGATGTTTGGTAAAAGCATAGTTTTAATTTCAGCCCAAACTTATTAATTAATTCTAGCCCAAACCTTTTTTATTTTATTGTTTTATTATTTATTTTTGGCCCAAACCCTTTATTTATTTTTATTTAATTATTTTCTTATTTTAGCCCGAATAATAAAAATTCAGAAAAGGCCCGAAATTATCAATTGGCACTTAAAATGCCGAAGGAAATTAGGGTTAAAAATGTATTTAGACGGAAAAATAGGCAGGAATTTCCCGCGCCACGGCAGGTACTTACCGTGTCACGGGAATCCTTCCCATCTGACGGTGGGATTTCCCGTGACACGGGAGGTCTGCCGTGACACGGGACATTCCGTGTCTTTTCCGCGTAAACCCTTGACGCGTTTTCTATCCCGTTTTCTAAAAATTTCCCGCGTCACGCCAAAAGTGTACCGTGTCACGGGAAAGAGGGACATCTGACGGTGGAGCTTCCCGTATCACGGTACAAGTTGACCGCGTCACGGGATACTTTTTTAGGGTTTTTATCATTTTAGGGTTCCGTGTGCTCCCTCGGCACATTTTCCCTAAATACCCCCCTCATTTCTGATGAACGGGGCACCGAGTCTTATTTTATTTTCTCTCTTCTATGCTTTAGCCTAAACACTAGCCTACCCTTTTATACTTCAAAATTCCTTTTTCAAGTACTCAAAGGAGTCCATACTTCACTCGTAGTTCCATCCTTAAGCCTAGGCGTGAAAGGTAGAATTGTTTGAGGGTTTGGCCCCAAAAAACAACTATACTTTTTTTAATTTAATTTAATTATTGCTTTATTATTTCCTTGAAGTTACTAACTCGTTTATTATTTTGTAGTTGCAAACAAACAGAATCAAAGTAAGGATTATGCTCCTTTTGTTTTTATTATTTTTCTAACGATTTTATGTTGTTGGAATTGTGATTAAATTGGTTTTAATATTAATGTTGTTCTATTATTTTTATGATCACTATATGCATGTTTAAAGGGAATATTTAATTGAAAATCACGCCTAATAAGATAATTTGGACAACCGGTTTAGGATCCCTTTTAATCTTATTATTAATTGAACTGATCACCAATATTTTAGAATTATGTGTGCATTAATATTAAACCAATTTAGTTAAGTAATAGTTTGGAGCGAATTGAATTATTGTTTGTATGCCTTTGAGATCACATGAATGCTCTTCAATATAAGAATCGAGTAGAGGCCAATACGGGCGAATGTGACTCCATGACTCACTTCGTACCATCATCCCCGATCCTCCTTTCGTGGTTCTGAACCATATGGAGTTAGTAATCTCATGGATTATGAATGGGGTGTAACCTTCACGGGTCAATCGTTGTTGCCTTTGTTGTCCCTTATCGTGGTTGCCTTTTATGATCCGTGAACGGTTTACAAGTTCCTTAAAAACTTGTTGGCGGTTCCCTACTTTATTTGTCCCAAATCGTATTATGCCAATTCCCACTTCCTATGAGTGCCAAGCATATTCACAACATGCTTTTTACGTAGGCGCACTTCGAGCGACGCCTACAGTAGTGTTATTTAAATCATATGATACTACTTTATATACCCTTACACATGCACTTGTGCACTTGCAAGTTGTTGATGTAGATGAGTACATAGTAGGAGAATGCTTTTGGAGAAAGTGATGGTAAATGGTAGAATGTGTTAGCTTAGATATATTCATATGATAATGTAATATTTTGTGATAAAGGTGGATGTACCTTTTTGGGATGATGGTTGATATAACAAGTTAGGATAGGTTAGTTTTATTTTGGATATGAAAAGTCTGAAAAAGGATATATATTGGGAAAATCTTGACGATGAATGTAATATTTTGGATATGAATGTTGAAATGATATAAATGCTACATTTTGGAGGTAATTTTCGGATGATATGATTAAATTAATGCTTTTTCAATTTATATGAAATATTACATATTTAATGAATTTATTGAAAAAAAATGTTTGGCAACAATTTTTGTCGTTGCTGTAAATGCATAGGATTATAACAATATAGTGAGTTTTAGCAACAACAAATGTCGTTGTGAAAAAACTATGCATTTACAGCGACGACAATTATCGTTTTAATAAATGAGTATACTTATATCATGAAATACAATGTATGGCAACGACATTATTTTAGCAACAAAAAAAGTCGTTGTGTAAAACAGAGTTTTAGCAACGACAAATGTTGTTGTCATATTTTTTGCAACGCCGACACGCGCAACGACCATGCAACGACAAAAGTCGTTGCTAAAGTGATTTTTTGCAACGACAAAGGTTTTTTAGCAACGACATTTTTTGTTGCCAAAAATGGGTTTTTTGTAGTGAACATTAACACAATAATGGGATCTCGGGCCTACAATACATAAAGTGAACTCTAGATAAACATCTTAAGGAAATCTAATACATCAAAGGGAGTCGGATTCTAACATCCTCCCCCACTTAAGCTGTCAACGACCTCGTCGACTTACAAGAGTTACAATCAAAATTAGAAAAATCCTAATCTATCTGGAGTCTCTGGTTCGCCGTTGATGCGGATGGCTTGTTGAATCTTCGTCGACTCTAGATCTGGTTCTTTGTTTATTCCGAGGATCTTGTCCTTGGGGTGTCTTTGTTCGAACAACTTGTTGAGAGCTTCATCTTTAAATTTCCTCTTGGGAGCTATATTTGTTGAGTTCTGGTGGAAAGCTGCTTTCTCGATCAAATGTTGGGGAGCTGCTTCCTTGAGATTGTGGTGGTGAGTTTCCAACTGTGGTTGGTGCCTCTTGAGTATCCATTCTCTTTCTGTTGTTTGCTCGACCACTGTACTCCCTTTCTCTTGGGAGGTTCCTCTTTTATGTCTCCTCGGTGTCTCTAGGCTCGTCGATGTTAGCTTTGAGCCGTGTATCCGATCTGGTTTTGGCGGGGGTGTATGGTGTATCTTTGATGTTGCTGACTTAATGGGCTTCATCTCCCGCTAATCAGGGTCTCTGGCGCGATCTTGTTTCTTCGATGTTGCATCCTTCGCTAGCTCCATCACTCGCATTGCCGACAAGTGTCGGACTTTTGGCTATTCCTTGATTGTTGTTATTATTATAGCACCCATTTTATAATGGAACCCATCCTGCATGTGGGCTCCTCATAGCTTCTGGTCTCTTTGTTTTTCCCTTTCTCCTTCGGGGCCTCTTGTACGGACATGGATGACAATCTTTTCTGAAGCTTGTCGATCTCGGCTTTGTGCTTGCACTCCAACCAGTAAGGAGGTTGTTCCCATCTTAGGGAATCCTTCTCCTTAGATTCCCATGGCCCTTTAAAAGCCTAGGAATTTACACTTGTTAGGGTGTATTAGGATTTGAATTCCTGACTGTTTAGGGGATCTTGAATTAGAATTGATTCTATCATTACGCTTTTTTGTAAGAAAGAAGTAGGAGTCGCCAATGAGTTTTGGGAAAACTCATAAACCTCGTTCATACTTTTCTCACCTGTGGAGTTCATGGGATAATTAGCACAAATCGTAATTTTAACCATGCCCTAATTGATCTACATAAACCAGAAATGAGTTTGGGAGCGAGGGTACTAAAATAACGTTCCCTTTAGAGGAGAATCGCTATTCTAGCCCTAGTGCAGCCTCTACTAGTTACAATTTCATCACCAAACAATATATGAAACGTGATACCTCACTAGTAGAAAAACTTTTATTTGCGTCGCCTCTTTTGCGTCACTCGTAGAAACAAGCGAAGCAAATGATATATTTTAGCTTCATTATAAGTTATTTGCATCGCTCGTTAGCTATGAAACAACACAAAATCCTGATATGCTTCAGCTTTATGTTATTTGCGTCGCGTTTATTTATTAGAACGGCACAAATAACAGTCTTATTTGCGTCACTCCTTTAAGGACAAGTGAGCAAATGAGTTTGTGAGTTATTTGCGTCACTTCTTTAATTAGTGAGCGACGCAAATAGTTAATTCACATCATTACATTTAAGTTATTTGCGTCACTTATTTAATTAATGAGCGATGCAGATAACTATAGGTTAAAAATTAATTCTAAATATTCTACTGATCTCGCCATTTGCTGCTGCCTCCAAATTCGATATACCCACAAAAAAAATACTTTTGATACCCATTTGTTGCTGCCTTCAACAACTGAATTCAACACAACAATTCGACCAAACTAAAACCCCAGAAAAATAGAAAGATCGAAGCAAAAAATCTCCCATTTTCGAGCACAAAATTGAACCAAAACCCCCAGCAAAATTGAACACTAAAAAACCCATAAAAATCGAGCAAAAACCCCCCAATTTGAGCAGATGTTCGGTGTATAAACCCCCAACAAATTTGAACCCTGCAAACCCCAGAAAAATCGAACATTTTCCAGCCAAAAAACCCCCCAATTCGAGCAAAAATTCCAACCTCAACCCTAGCAATTTCGAACCCTGAAAACCCTAGAAAAATTGAACATTTTTTAGCCAAAACCCCCCCAATTCGAGCAGAAATTTGAACCTAAAACCCCAACAAATTTGAACCCTTGTTTTCTTTATGATTTTTGTTGATTTAATGGTTGAAATTTGCCACAATCCCAGGTTTATTTTTCCCTGATTTTTAGGGTTTTGTGTTATTTTTAATTGGGTGCTCTTCAATTGTTGTTTTCAATGCAGTTATTGATTCAATCTTTGAATTTTGCCTCTAATTTAGGGATATGTTCGGCTTTCTAGGGTTATTGTGATGTTTTATTATTTCTAATTGTTTGTGTTTTGGAATTGTAATTAGAAAAGCAAAGCTTTACAGATTTGATAAAGAAGGAAATCAATGGGAAAATTCTAAAGCATAAGGTTTCTGGGAAAGTTCGATTGGTTATGCGGCAATCTAAAACTCTTAAGATCTGTGCTAATCATCTGAGTATGTGACTTTATTTCTATCATTTGTTAATTGTTATGGGTTTTTTTTTTGTATAATTATTGTGTGAAATTGCTTGAATTAATGAGTTTTTTCTATGAATGATCAATTTGTATTTGTAGTTATTGCGGGTATGATTGTTCAAGAGCATGTTGGGAATGAAAAATCTTGTACGTGGGTTGCTAGTGATTATGCTGATGGAGAGTTGAAGGAGGAGATGTTCTGTATCCGATTTGCATAGATTGAGAGTGAGCAAATTTGCTTTAAATTAAATGTTTATTATCTGTGATGCTGGTCCAATATCCTTGTGTTTTTGCAATTTGCCAATTAAACGAATTTTAGAGTTATCTTTGAGTTTGTTGTCCAATTTTTTGATTAATTTGGTTTCCATTGCGAATTTCTAATTTATTTTAATCTTGAATTTTTGCTTGAAGAACCCCAAACATTGAATTTGTTGCTCTTTTGCTAAATTTGATCTTAAAATTTGCTTAATTCTTCAAGTCTATTTGTGAATTTCATTCTACCCATACAATTTGCTGAATTTCATTCAACCCATACAATTTTCTGAATTTCCTCATCCTTAAAGAAGGTTTTTCTCATTAATCTTTTAGTTTTTCTAATTTCCCCTTTTAATTTTGCTTAATTTTTATCTACTTTGTTATAATCCATACGATTTAACAAATGTTTTGGATTTTTTCAATTTCTCATTACTATATGTTTACTTATTTCGTCAATTTCGATTCTGTTTTGCCTTATTAATCTGGTTTTTTCTTTCTATTTAATCAATAATTGAAGCTATAATTCCATTATATGTTGTCTATATACAAGCAACACTTGAAGAACTCCCTGTAAAAAAGAAGAGGCCGAGAAAAAGACATTGATTAGGTATGTTTATTGCTTGTTTAATAATTTATGTTATTTAATATATGAGTCAATGATTAATGTATTTGGCTGTCTATAACGAGTGCTTAATAACATATCCCCTGCTTCTATATATTTCAGATTTTTTTTTAATCTTTTAGTTTTATGCTTTTGATATTCGCTACTTTAAATTACCTTGATGTTATATGGGTCATATCGTTTGATTTTATAATGTTAGCTACTTTTAGGTTAGATGTTTAAAGACTTTTGTAGTGATTTGCATTGAATTGTAAGCAGCTATAATATACCTGTACAAAATCTGTTCATATAATTCAATAAAGGTGTCTAATAATAAACTTGTATCCAAATTCTAAGGATTAGTTGTTGGGGTGGGGGGGGGGGGGGTTAGGGGATTGAAAAACTGAATATTATTGATAAATTTAGGCCTTTAAAAAGGCTGCAACTATGTTAGAAAAACTTAGAAACAAAGCTAAGAAATTGTATAAAACTTCAAGGAGAACAACCCTTGCAAGCAGAACATGCTTATCAGACTTTCCAGTTGTACCACTTGACAAAACCTGACTTTATTAATTGACTTTTAGATATATCCTTGTATATGAAGTCCCTGGAATTTATGGCTTATATTTTGTTATCTTGTATAATATTGTAGAACTTTTAAAATGTGAATCTTACAGGTATCTAAGCAATATAATTTACTTCTAAGCAACACAATCTTACTAACTTATATATCTCATATGCAGCTGCATGTTTTGATGTATGTAGTTTCCTCTGTCTGAAATTTTGTTCTCTACTTAGGTAAAACATATTGAGTTGTAGCAATATAGCATAGTTTAGTTCTGCTTTACTCTTGGTTCTTCCTTGTCCTGGTATAAAAAAACTGATTATCATTGATACCACCATCGATTATTAAGGTGCAAAGTTGGGTAGATGAATGATTAGCTAATAGATGTCATTTTTTTTTGTAGTCTGTAGAATTACATACTTTATTAACTGCTTTTGTGCAAGGTCACAACTCACATATTTATGTTCTCGCTGCTGTATTGCTGTTAGCTATTAAGAATTGATTGCTTAGTCATCATGGTTCAATTGAAAATGTTTAATGTACAGTAGTAGGGCAATGCTTGTAAAATTAGTTACATTGGTTTGTCAATTGCTTTCCAATCAAGTGTCTGATTGAAACACCCTCTCTATGCTTGCAATTTTGAGAATAGATGTAGTTATAATCATTGAGTCTATCTTATTTATGTCTTATTGTGTGATTATATATCATGATTAGGATGATGTTCACATATTTATTTATATTTTCATTAGGTTTTTGGTCTGTATACTTGTATAGAGAACTCAGGTATATGTAGGTATATGTATTATCAGATTGCCAGTATATGCTCCATGTAGATACCCTTGAGAAAGTGAAAAACATTCCAATGCTGCGTTTGTAGCTGATTGTATGCCTGGTTTTCTATCACAAGAAAGAGAATCTACGTGAGTGTGGCTATTACGTCATGCGTTATATGTACGAAATACTTGAACATCATCATAACAGTGAGGATCTTATTAAGGTATGAGTTGTCAAATATTTCATTTTTGTTTGATAAATACAATTTGATGTTAGCTACAATCTTGAATTAAAACTTTCCTCTTGTATATTTGTTGTGTTGATAGGATTTTTCAATAACTACACCGTATACCGAGGAGGAGATAAATGAGATTCGAGATATTTGAGCAGAGTATTTTATATGTAATGTTGAACTTTAGATTTACACTTAGCAAATGTTGGACTTTTGTTTTGGATTATAGGCTTGACATGAATGAATTTGGTTAACTGGTGTTGGGATGATGAGTATAATGTCAATGATATTGAGATGTAAACTTATTGGGCAGGTTGTTAATATAATGTCGCCATTCCCAATTTTATGGGTAGGCCAAAATACAAAGGAAACTCTGCTGAAATTTACATTTGCATTCATTAATATTGCATTTTAATTTCAATTATTGGCGTTAGCATATTACGTTATACCACTACCGAGGGAAACAGGTACTACAAACACATACAAGCAATTATTATAATTAAAAAAAATCACATCATTTGTGTCACTCATTAAACAAAAAAGTGACGCAAATAACTCACCTTTGTATTGTCTAGTAAGTTAATTGCGTCACTCCTATATAAACAAGTGACGCAAATAAAAAACAAGAAGTTGCTCTGAATTGCTATTTACGTCACTTGTTTATAAAGGAGTGACGCAAATAACTCTTATTTGCGTCACTTGTTTATAAAGGAGTGACACAACTAACTCTCATTTGCGTCGTTAAGAGCGACACAAATAATTTAAAAGTCATTTGCGTCGCGAGCAGTTGCGTCGCTCATAGAAGCGACGCAAATACGCTATAAATGAGCGACGCAAATGAGCCTTTTTCTACTAGTGCCTAAAACTAAGTTAGTTAATTTTATTTACATGCATCAATCACGTAGGAATTACATTGAAAAGTCGTTATTCTTTATTTAATTCAAATTCGTGAAAGGAGTAAAAATAAAAAAGATTCGCCTTGGCTTAAGTGATCAATCAATAAATTAATTATTCAATTCTAATCTTATTAACGCAAGATACTATGTGGAATTGATTAATTAAATATCCTTTTAAAGTGGTCAAACAACACACTATTTAATCGATTAAGGTTCTTTTAGACAAGAAAAGTAAATATGATTTATCTAATTGCTCGGAAAATTACAACTTCTCTTTGCTAGATCTCTATTTAGAGCACTTACGGACTCCTTGTTCGAGAACCTCCACCGTAGTATCAAAGATTAAGAGGTATAGGACAAGAGGGTTTGGTAGCACAAGTTCACAAGATTTTCTGCCAGAGTTTTTAGGTTAATTTCTGTGTGTTTAAGCCTCGTATTAAGCCCCTATTTATAGGTAATGGGTGCAATTAAGGTTTCAAACATTCTGCCACAGCAGGTCTCGCGCGCATCTGGTTGAGTTGCGCACGGCATCCCAGCGCAACTGGATATCTTGCGCACGACACTATGGTAAGATTCGATTTTATATTTTTTTGAAATTCTGAATCTTCCGCGAGCGCATCACTAGCAGTCGCGCTGGGTGTTGCGCGCAACTGAATTAGTTGCACAAGCCAGACCAGCGCGACTCATTGAGATGCACACGAATTTTTCTGCGGCAGCATTAAATTTAACCTAGGCGCCTCTAAATCCGTCATTATTAGGTTTTAAGTACGGGCTTAAGACTAATTATGATCGGGTTTAGTTAATTGGACCTTGTTTGTATTTTTTGGGGTTAGGCTAGTCTTTTTGTGTCTTTGCGGTTTAACCAGTCATCCATAAGTATTCTTCACTTTGATCCAAGACAAAGATGGTTTTATTTATCGTCATTGCACTTCCTATCGGGACCAGAGGCAAAAAGTAGATGTCTACATAACCATTTGTGTGGGTCTCGACAAAGTTCTAGGCATCACCTCCTCCACTTATTCTTTGATATGTATCAATGGTGTTGGACGATACTCGAGAGCCATTCTCCATACCCTTTAGAGAGCTTGGAGCCGGGCTATCGTAGCATGTGGATGTCCCACTTAAATCATTTTAAGATTGACGGCCCTTCTCGACTAAGTAGTCCATCAATATCTCAGCTGCACACATGGCAACAACAAGGGTGTCAATCTAGTTTATGGCTTAAAATCTCTCGCTGCGCCCATTCCTTTAACCCATTGAAAAATTTTAACACACGACCTTTCTCATTAATGTTTGTGATGTCCAACATTATCGTCGAGTATTCCTTCACATAGTCGCGAAAAGAGCCCTTCTAGCGGCACTCTTGCAACTTCATTCGAGAAACAAAGTCAGTGTTGTCAGGGAAACATTGTTCCTTGAGTTCCTCCTTAAACCCCGCCCATCATGTTTTTATCTTTGTTCTTCCTACTTTGATGTCAGCATTCTTGGTGTTCCACCAAAATTTGGCATAATTCAACAAATACATGATGGCGCATCCACCTTCTGATCGTCACATAATTGACATAATCAGAAATACTGCTCCATGTCGAAGAGGACGTTATCAACTTGTTTTGCATTTCTAGCGCCACTGTAGTCGTGAGGTTTCGGTGGTTTGATTTTTACCTCACCAACACCATGTGCGTCTCTGCCTATAGTGCACATTAGAGTAGCACATTTCTCAAGTGCTTCATCAACGTGTCCTTGAGCAAGGTGTTGGGGTTTAGTGAGTCCGACTCATCGCGGAAACAAACCCCGACCCGAGGAACCACTCGCAATAATTAAAATCATAAAGCATAAATAAATAATCACAAAGAAAAGATAACGAATCTTACCCTCGAAGCGAGATTCGCCCAAAAACCAGGGCTCTTACTTGAAAGCTACGAGCACATCAAGCGCCGCGCCTCCGACGGTATCCACCCACAAAAAGGGCGAACACAACTTTAAGGTTCGCTACCTTGGGGTTAGCAAGGTCCGACCAAAACCCGAGTGTTATATGAGTTTAAGAGTTTTCCCAAAATTATGGAATGCTTTTTTTAACTCCCACTCAAGCATCATTTCCAATGCCCCAAGTTGGGTATTTATAGGGAATGATGAGAGTATGAAAATCTCTCCCATCAATGTGGGACAATGAGATTTTCACATTTTATTTTAAAGCTAAAATAAAATTATTAAGCAAACTAGTAATAAATAACAAGTGACAAGCATACATGAGGGAGTAGGTGAGGACCACTAAGAGATGGGGACCAAACTTGCTCCCTACTCCCTCCCTCACCTTGCGCCACATGGCAACCCCCACTTGGGCACCAAGGCACCCAAGTGGGCTTCTCATTTTGCTGCTGCCCTAGCCTTGGCCTAGCTATCCACGCACCACAAAGTGCAGGCTGCTTGCTAGCACCTTCGGCCAGCAGGCCCCTGCACTTGCGTGCGTGCTGCTGCAACCGAGGGCTGCTGCTAGCTTGCCTCGCACCTAGTGCGGGTTGCTAGCTGCAGCATGCTAGCACGCCACGCACTAGGTGCGGGCTGCTAGCCGGAGCTTGCTACCAAGCCCCGTACTTGGTGCGGGCTGCTAGCTCGGCTATACCCCCTAGCACTCGATGTTCCGATGCTAGGGGTATTTTGGTCATTGTTGATTTATTACTGTTTTCTCGTCTTGTCTTCTTATTATCTTTAACTCGACTTCCGACGATCTGTTTTGACGCTCTAAGCTCGAATTACCGACGCCTAAATATTTAACACTCGGGCGACGAATTAATTTCTTCCGAATTTATTCGTCGAGTTGGTTCGTATATTTTGCTTGGGTGTGACCCGAAGGGTTCAGTAAAGATTAAGCTGTAATATTAATTATATTAATATTACTGATCGGAAGCGGCCTCCACCCAGGCATTCCGATCACTTGACCTTACTGAATATATTAGCTTTCTAATAATTCTGAACCCGCTATCAGAATAATACACTTGTTCGAAGGACACCATTCCTTTCAATCTCCCACTTGTCCTTCCGGACAAGTGTGCATTTAGTGTATAGCCCTTATCCTATGTCTCTTCATGAACTACAGAGTAAGATTACTAGTCATCTCTGTTACGTCCAGAAGTGTTTCTCAAAATCCGAGTTTAACTGTTAATAAGCAGATGATTTCTAAAATCTATCTGAGCACGGCCATGCATTTTTCACAGTCTCGCTCTTCGAGAGGCCTTGTAAACAACAAGACATGTTCCCTATTGTTAGTAGGGGGACATTTCCAGTCTTGTAATGTAGCTTCTCTTACTAAGAGGACTCACCCGCCCGATATCTGTCTTTATAATCCCTAGTTACGGCAGACGTTTGGCGGATACCAAAGCGGACCAGTACTCAAACAAGAGATCTCCCACTACTCATGGTCAAAGGAAAAGAGTTCCGATAGTAATAATGAGAAAATACTTATGACGATTTTTAAATCTCTTAAAGTATCCTCATAGGTCGATCCAGTATGGTTCTAAACCAATACCTGTGCAAATGATTTATATCCTCATAGCACAAGAAACGGTGCTACAAATCATACTACACACTAATCTCTGATGGTCATCAATCGTCCACAAAATATGACCTTAATTAGGGATAATTTTCGATTAAAATATTCAATGTTCACTTAATAGGTGTTTCTTTATCCAAGCCATTGACTTGATACCCTATTTTGAATATTTATTAAAATCTAATGGACTCATTATTTAATTTTAAACCACAATTAAATAGAGACAGAGTGATTTAAATTGCATGAAAATTTTAATTACTCCAAAACTGAATGGTTCATCATGGTGCTTTACATCAACATTGTTCAAAATTTGATTAAAACACTATAAAATGGAATTCAAAGCCAGTTCATGACATGCTTGATTCCCATTGCCTCAATGTGTTTTTTGTGCTTCACTTGAGGCAAAGGTTTAGTAAGTGGATCGGCTACATTGTCATCCGTTCCAACTTTGCAAATTCTAATTTCACCTTCTGACTTCCATCCTCGAATCATGTGAAATCGCCTATGGACATGTTTGACCTTCTGATGTTCTCGTGGCTCTCTAGCCTGAGCAATAGCTCCATTGTTGTCACAATAGAGGTCTATTGGACCCTTGATGGAGGGTACAACACCAAGTTCATCAATGAACTTGCGAATCCAAACTACCTCCTTGGCTGCCTCAGATGCTGCCAAATACTAGGCTTCAGTTGAAGAATCAGTGGTTGTGCTTTGCTTTGCACTCTTCCAACTAAACTATCCTCCATTGAGACAAAATATGTATCCTGATTGTGACTTGAAGTCGTCTCTGTCTGTCTGGAAGCTTGCGTCAGTATATCCCTCAACAACCAATTCATCTTTACCACCATAAACCAGGAATTTATCCTTGTTCCTTTTCTGGTACTTTAGAATATTCTTGGCCGCAGTCCAATGCGCCTCTCCTGGGTCTGATTGGTATCGGCTCGTAGCACTTAAGGCA